TCTATATTGTCAGCAAGTAAAGTACGAGCATCAAAGGCCTGATGGTTTGCTCTAGAACCTTGAGATTCCCAAGTGGAAGTGCGAGCGTATTACCATGGATTTTGTTGTTGGGATCCCACGGACTTAGAAGAAATTCGACGCAGTATGGCTCATTGTGGATAGGTTGACCAAGTCGGTACATTTTATTCTAGTAGCAGTTACCTATTCTTAAGAGCGGTTGGCAGAGATCCATATCCGCAAAATAGTTCGTCTTCATAGTGTGCCGATGTCCATCATTTCTGATCGAGGTACACAATTCACATTGTACTTTTATAGGTTTGTACAGCGTGAGTTAGGCACACGGGTTGAGTTGAGTACAGCATTTCACCCCCAAACAAACAGACAGTCCGAGCGCACCATTCAGATATTAGAGGATATGTTTCGCACTTACGTTATGGCTTTCGGGGCTTCTTGGGACCGTTTCTTACCGCTTGCGGAGTTTGCCTTCAACAACATCTACCAATCGAGTATTCAGATGGCTCTCTATGAGGCATTATACGGGAGACGATGTCTTGGTTGGTTTGAGCCTAGAGAGGCTCGGTTGCTTGGTACCGATTTGGTTCAGGATGCCTTGGAAAAGGTCAAGATAATTCAGGATCGACTTCGCACAGCTTAGTTCATGTAGAAGTGTTATGCTAATCGTAGAGTTCGTGATGTTGCATTCATGGTTGGAGAGAGGGTATTGCTGCGGGTTTCGCCCATGAAGGGTGTGATCAGGTTAGGAAAGAATGGAAAGTTGAGCCCTAGGTATATCGGGCCCTTTGAGATTCTTGAGAGAGTTGGTGAGGTGGCCTACAGACTTGCCTTGCCACCTAGTTTATCAGTAGTCCATCTGGTGTTCCATGTCTCCATGCTCCGAAAGTATCACGGTGATCTGTCCCGTGTGTTAGATTTCAGCTCAGTCCAATTGGACAAGGATTTGACTTATGAGGAGGAGTCAGTGGCCATTCTAGCCCGGCAGTTCCGAAAGTTGAGGTTTAGAGTTATCCTTCAGTTCGAGTGCAGTGGAGAGGTCAGCTGATCAAGGCAACCACGTGGGAGTCCGAGTCCGATATGCGGAGTAGATATCCACACCTTTTCACCAGTCCAGGTACTTTTCTAGGTACGTTCGAGGACGAACGTTTGTTTTAGAGGCAAAGAATGTGATGACCCGATAGGTCATTTTGCGATTTAGCCTCTATTCCCATATTCTGAGACCTCGATTAGCTCCGTTTAGCATTTTTTGATTTGCGTGCGCAGTCTGTGTCTCATTTCGGAAAGTTTTGATGTGGAAAATTGAAGAAAATATGAAATTTTGCCTTTAAAATGATTTGAGTTGACTACGGTCAATATTTTGTGTAAACGAAACCAGATTAGTATTTTGACAGTCCCGGTGGGTCCGTATCGTGATTTGGGACTTGGGAGTATGCCCGGAATCAATTTCGGAAGTCCCTAACTTGATTTAACGTGATTTGTTGAAAACTAGTCATTTGAAAGTTTAAAGAATTTCTAAGTTTGATCGTAGGTTGACTTTGTTGCTACCGGGTTCGGATTTCAATTCCGAAACTTGGAATAGGTTCATTTCACTATTTGTGACTTGTCTGTAAAATTTGGAGCAAAACGAAGTTGATTTAACGTAATTCGGATGCCCGGATGAAAATTTGCAAGTTCTTGAGTTTCTTTGAAATTTTCATACATTTTGATGTCTTATTCATATAACTAGGTGTTATTTTGGTGTTTTTATCATGCGAGCGAGTTCGTATGATGTTTTCAGACTTGTGTTGATGTTTGGTTTGGAGCCCCGAGGGCTCGGGTGAGTTTCGGATCCGTTTCAGAGTGTTTTGGAGAGTGTTAGAGTTGTTAGTGTGAGGTGGTATTGCAGGCTTCGCAAATGCGAGGTTGGAAGTCGCATTTTCGACGCATGGCCTAGCATGTTAGAATCGCATTTGCGAGCCCATTGTTCGCAATTGCGAAGGGGGCCTGGGATTAGCAGTGATCGCATTTGCTATCATATGATCGCTTTTGCGAAAATCCAAAGTTCGCATTTGCGACTGCAGCACGGATGTTGGTTCTTCGCTTTTGCGATGAATTTCTCGCATTTGCAGGGTTCACATTTGCTAACCCTAGGTCGCAATTGTGACACCTGCGACTGGACAAAAAGGTGAGGGACGGCATTTTTAGCCTCATTTCATATTTTGGAACCCTAGGCTCGGTAGGAGACGATTTTGAAAAGGGAATTTCATCTACAAACTTTGGGTGAGTGATCCTAATCCATTTGTAATCTATTCCATCAATCTATCTTAGAATTTAACATCAAAATCATGTGAATCAAAGTAAAAATTTAAGAAACCTTGTCAAGTTTTTGAAAAAGAAGAATTTGAGTTTTGAGAGTTGATTTGGACTCAAATTTTGAAACTAATCACATATATGAACTCGTGGGGTCATAGGTAGTCGAAATCTACCATTGGACCCGGGTTTTGACCGAGCGGGGCCCAGGTTTACTTTTGTTAACTTTTTGGAAAAAGCGTAAAGATCTTTGCTTTATCTATTGTAATTGATTTCCCTAGCATTATTTGATGATATTAAGACGATTTTGGTTAGATTCGATTAGTTTGGAGGCGAATTTTAGAGGAAAGACCCTGGTTGAGCTTTGATTTGATTGCAAAACGAGGTAAGTGTTGGGTCTAACCTTGATTTGAGGGAATTAGGAACCCTTGAACGATATGTTATGTGAATTACATATGAAACGGCGTATATGCGAGGTGATGAGTGTATATACGCCGTCAAAATAATTGTTTCCATATTTTTCTCGTATTTCATGAATTATCTCATGACATGCCTTAACTGTACATGCTTTAATTGCTTTCTATGCCGTAATTTATTACTTGTCATTAATTATTCTTGTATTGAATTGTTCGTCTCTTTCCTGACTTCGTGATTAATTGCTACTTGCCTTAATTATCTTACTTGCACACCTTAACTTTTACGTACTTGACTTATCTTGTTGCTTTTGTATTATTTATAGCATTCCTTTGATTAATACGTGATTCCTTAATCACTTTGCTTTTATATCCTTTGATTGTAGAGATTCTTGTAAATTGAGCTATTAGATTGATTACGTTTATTGAAATTATTTGTGGATCGGGTTGCACGGCGTAACGGTTGTGATATGATGGAATAAGAGAGAATTATGACATTGATTCTGATGATATGGTGGGAACGGGTTGCGCGCCGCAACAGTTGTGTATGTAATGCTTGATATTGATAAATTATAATAGGGTGTAATAAGGGAGGATTACGAAATTGATTATGATGATAATACGGGATCGAGTTGTGCGCCGCAACGAATTGTGTACGTAATATTTGATGTTGATAAATGATGCTATGGTGAAATAAGGGAGGATTGTGTGTGTACGGTGGGATTGGGTTGGGCGCCGCAACGGATTGTGTGTGTTATACTCGTTGTTGTTGTTGTGTTGGGTTTCAGCATTTTTATATGAAATTATGAGATCCGTTATTCTGTGTTCTCTGCTTGCGAGGATTGAGTTCATTTTCACAAATTAACTACCTTACTTTCATTTTCTTTTTCTCCATCCGTGTTATTATTATTACTACTACGTACAGGTTATTGTAAGTGACCCGCCTTAGCCTCGTCACTACTTCGTCGAGGTTAGGCTCGGCAGTTACAGAGTACATGGGGTCGGTTGTACTCATACTATACTCTGCACTTCTTATGGAGATTTCAGAGTGGATCCTAGCGGCATTCAGTAGATTTGCTTGGATCTTGTTCTTGACGGAGACTTGAGGTACAGCTGCACAGCGTTCGCAATCCTGAAGTCCCATTCTACATCACCTTAGCTATTTTTTCGATTCAGATATGCTTTTATTCAGAGTATTATTTGTAGTACTCTAGACGCTTGTGTATTCGTGACACCGGTTCTGGGATTGTATTGAGATATCATCGTTTATTAGTTTATTTACTCTTATTCCAGCTTATTGGTTTTCATTTGATTTGAATTATTAATAATGGCTAATAACTATATCTTACGTTGGTTTACCTAGCAAGTGAAATGTTAGGCGTCATCACGATTCCGAGGGTGGGAATTTCGGGTCGTGACAGATAAAGAGATGAATATTGAATTTAGGGCGAAAAAGTTGATAACATACGAATCATTGAAATAAGGACAAAAAAATTGTGACTCGTTGCTCACGTGCTAACTCTATAAACTAAAACTAGATCTATTAACTACATAGGTAAAGTAATCAATCCATATTATTTCTGTTTATTTTTATATAAAATGCAAAAATCAAATATCAAATTCTTACATAAAGAACTGGAACGCTTCAGTTTCACCAAAGATTTTGGCTGCATTTTTTCAAAAAAAATTGAAAACATTATTTATGAAATATGATCGGGATAAAAATTTCAAAAAATTTCAAGTTCCCAAAAACTATGTGAAGATTTTTCTTCCACTAACAAAATTTCAAATTTTCTTCAAATAAAATGCATGTCCAAACACAACTTCAACTTTCAGAAAATACTTTTCAACGCAACTTCAAAAACTCTTTTCAGAATATTTCTTTTTGTCAATGCCAAGTTCTAAGAGAAATGATAGAGATTTCCAATGTGCAACAAACTTCCTATAATTTCACAGTAAAATGAATCATATGATATAGTATAAAATGTTGGACCTTAAATATAGATGGAAGGTCCACAAAACTTGCTGTACATATCCTCCTCTTTTCCGCACCACCTCCCCACCCAAAAAAAATGGAAATTATTTTCACCATTCCTCGGTTACGGTGTCTCTTTAATCTAATTTGACTTCATAAGTCCTCTGCAGAACAGCTTGTTCAGCTTAGCAAACAAAACAAAAACCAACTCTATGCAAATTACAGCAGAAAGTTGTGGAGAGCAACAGAAATAGTCCACTACTACACGATATTTTTGGCGTTGCAAATGAACTTCCTCGGTTCAACCATTGTCCGAAATGTAAGCCATGTATAACTGGAACAAGGGCATTATCCAACAATCGCAGTAAAATCCAAATGCAAAAATGACACCAGATTGTTGGAAAAACAAATGGCAAAGGTTGACCAAAACACTGCCTTTGTAAATTTCTTTACAACTCACATACCATGCGCCAACTGAAAATTATCTACATCAATAAAGACAGAAACTGGCAATTTTTCATTTATAGCTCTCTCTCCCAAAATTTTGTTCGTCATCCCTGAACATTTTCCGTTCAGTAACTAGTCAAACCGGCAGCATCTACATGCCTGATGAATAACCGCTGTTCGCTGCTCAATGAAGCAAACCACTTTCTTAGGCAATCAATTGGATCACATTGATTTGCAGGTGATGCAACTTCAATGTTACTTTCAGCAAGTTCTTCAAAGCTGAGAGGAATTAGGCCAATTAAAGCAATACCAATGGAGAACTGAAGGTGAAGACCCCTTCTTTTGGAGTCACATTGGCAAAGTAATGCACATAAAGAGCTTCTTAATCTCTGAATCCTAACATCTTCACATCCAAAAGCATTAAGACCAGACCTGCAAGAGATTTTTATATAAAATGCTGGTTAGCATGCAATGAATAAACAAAAAAAATTCCAAGTAGAAACACCATTTTAACCATAATAATATAAATACAATTAAGAGATACCTACCAAAATATAAATACAATTAAGAGATAAAAGGTTTGAGGTCATAGTAACTAACCCTCCATCCAAAGGTTCAATTTATTTCATCAAACTCACTGATGAATGATGATTAGCATCTACTCATTTACATACCTTAAAAGAAGGTGCCTAGATCTAAAAGAATAACCAACCAAATATTCAGGTGCCCAAACAGAAAGTGAATTGTAGTATTCCAAAAATCAATTCATACCAAAATCTGGTTGCAAAATCATGCATACAAACTACAAAGGAAATTCAGATACCCAACTACTATGTGAAATTTCATCTTTTATATTGCTGATAAGAAGTTGATAATCTGTGGCAAATGCAAGACTGAATTTGCTCATTCATCTCTGTAGGCCTAGATAACTTTTCCAAACTCCCCCTCAGAAATCTAACTCATTTTAAACGGTGATTACAAAGCAATAAAAACCTAATTTTCTCAATCCATCATATTTAACACTATGATCTAATGAAATATCTAGAGATATAGATTTTTTTCTCACTTGAATGTTTCCTGTTAATGTCCGTATCCATGTCTTAAAGCTTTCTCTGTAGACAACACATAAACATAGAAGAGCCTCTAGTTAATGCAAGATTCTTTTTACCAAATCAATGAAATAGTAAGTTTACTGTCAGTCCGAAAGAGATCAGGCCAATAGATATGTCCATTATAGCTCATGTTTGCACAAGGGTTATAGCATAGACCACCAATGGGGAAACAGTTGGGAAACAATTTTGAGGTCGTTCGGCTCCCTGAGCAGATGTAATTCGATCATCCAGAGTATAAAACTGCCAACATATACATGTACGGAGGGAATAAACTGGTCAAAAAGCTTTCTGAATGTCCAAAGGAAAACATAAAACATCCAATATCAGCAATGCAACTTATAATCTTGAATGTGGAGCACTGAAAAAACTTCAGGATAGAGAGAAATATAATATAGGATCATGATATTGTCCTATACGGAATGCCAATGGTTAAGTTCATAAATATCTTACCTCATAATATGTTGCTTCAAAGATACGGAAGCAACAACAACAAAAAAGAAAAAATGTGAATTCCCACAAGTGGGGTTGGGGTCAGATGTACGCAGCCTTACCTTGGAAGGCAGAAGCTATTTCCGAAAGACTCTCGGCTAAAGAAAAGATAAAAAGAAGCAATGGCAACAAGTATAAACAACAACAATATAAAAAGAGGACCGAAGCCAAGGTAGCAATTAAACGATAGTACTAGCAATCTAAGAATAAAGGGATAACAAACTAATACTAATGCTATGGAACCGACGGACAAAGGGAAACGCTCGACTACCTACTAACCTTCTACCCTAATCCTCGACCTTCACACCCTCCTATCAAGAGTCATGTCCTCAGTAAGCTCCGGTTGAGCCATATCCCGTCTAGCCATATCCCGTCCTAATCACCTCTCTCAAAGACTTCTTTGGCCTACCTCTACCCATCCTCATACCCATCAAGGTTAACCTCCCACAACTCCTAATTGGCCTTTTGTGCTTCTCTTAACATGCCGAAACCATCTCAACCTCACCTCCGGCATCTTATCCTCTAAGGGGGCCACTCCCACCTTATCCCAAATAACTTCTTTGGCCTACCTCTACCATCCTCGTACCCATCAAGGTTAACCTCTCACACCTCCTAACTGGCCTTTTGTGCTTCTCCTCTTAACATGCCGAAACCATCTCAACCTCGCCTCCCGCATCTTATCCTCCAAGGGGGTCACTCCCACCTTATCCCAAATAACGTCATTCCTAATCCAATCCAACCTGGTATGCCCGCACATCCATCTCAACATCCTCATTTCAGCTACTTTCATTTTCTGGACATGCGAGTTCTTGACCGGCCAGCATTCTGCCCCGTACAACATGGTCGGTTAACCACTACATTGTAGAACTTATCCTTAAGTTTCAATGGCACATTCTTATCACACAAGACACCGAAAGTGATCCTACTCTTCATGCACCCTACTTCGATACGATGCGTGACATACTCGTCAATCTCCTCATCACCTTGTATTATAGACTGAAGATACTTGAAACTCTCTCTCCTGGGGATGACTTGTGTATCAAGCCTCACATCCATGTCCGCTTTCTCGGTAACATCGCTAAACTTGCAGTCCAAGTACTATATCTTGGTCCTGCTCAACTTGAAACTTTTAGACTCAAGAGTCCATCTCCAAACCTCCAGCTCTTGTTAACACCAAATCCCGTCTCATCAATCAGAACTATATCATCTGCAATTAACACACACCATAGAACCTTCCCTTGAATGTGTCACGTCAATGCGTCCATCGCCACAGAAAATAAAAACGGGATAAGGGCTAATCCCTGATGCAGCCCAGCACAACCAGGAAGTGTTCTGAGTATCCTCCCATTGTCCTCACTCGTGTCTTAGCTCCATCATATATGTCCGTAATCACCCTAATGTATGTTACAGGCACACCTTTAGACTCCAAACACCTCCATAGAACCTCCCTCGGGACTTTGTCGTATGCTTTCTCTAGATCAATGAACACCATATGCAAATCCTTCTTCAAAGATACAGAAACAAAAAGATAATATTATCCCATCCTATAAGATCAGAAAATAAAAAGTATGCATCTCAGGCCATCTCTTCAATCAAAATGCCAATAGAGCTCGCTCTCACATTTCCCCATTTAAGATTTAAGCCCTATGAGTAAAATAAATGTTGAAAATAATTTAACCATATTTAGATTATTACCTTCCAAGTTGGCCAAGAAGAGTAGTGATAGCAGCAGCATTGTACTCCGTTGTACAATAGTCCAATAAATCCAATAGTGGACAGGCAATTTTGTCAAACATCCAATCCCAGCTCTGCTTGAGAGATCAAAAAATAAAAACAGAATTAGGCAAAAACTTCTGAGGAATGAACTAAAAGTAGGAAGTAATACCCTACCCCCGACCCCCACCATATTGCCCAATAGGAACTAAGCAAGCAAATTATCACAGATTCTATTTTAAAAGTAAAAAGATATTCCAATAACATCCTCCATTGAGAAAAAGATCCAACACAAGATTGAGTGAGCATTAAAGAAGATTCAAATACAACAATTTAGGAGTTCCAAAAGTTAAGAATGTGGTGTAGTAGTAGGCATTAACTAACTTCAATTGCTCTCCTAAACGTCTACTAAACGAATAGAATCACCAGAGAGAATTTCGCAACTATGCAACCTAGCCATTCATTGCAATATAGAAGTACATCTTGCTAGCCCAAAATAAACGACATACCATGCATAGAGATAAATTGCATAAGAACTAACTGAAAAGAAATATTAGTCCTCCCTTCCAACTAAAGGGTGTAATTTCTAATAAGACTCACATTAACACACTTTTACCATTCCTAAATGAAATCCATTTGTATTTTCTTTCTCTTTTCCATCCTTCTGCAAACACAAAGTCCAGGAGTTTTGGTTTTTGGCCAAATTAAGGGTCTGTTATGTAACAGCACCACATTTTTAAGTAAATGCATTTGCATCTCATTTTGGGTTAATAGGAATCGGAGTGAATTCAAACTTTGTGCCAAAGGAATCTTTGACCTAAAATGAATCAAATAACCTAAAACAAAATCAGAGAAAAAGAATTAAAAGCAACAAATATACTGAACAAAGACAAATGGCAGGTACAGGGATAACAGGTGGCGAAGCATGGAGGGGGTTTTGGTAGACAGGCGAGAGGATCGGAGGAGGGGTTAGTGGGTGCATGAGGGGAGGAAAGAGAAAAGTATGCATAGGAGTAAAAGCACCCCTTTTATCCCATGAGAGGATGGATAAAATTATACCAAGAAGAGGTTCATAATCCCGGATGCTGCCCATTATCCAGTCCCATCCTCTCAAACAAACACAAATATTGGATATTTCCCGTTTTAGAACTCTTGACTAAGCAGACCCCGTTCCCCTCCCACACTTCATTCCCGATCTATATCTTGAGGTCATACAGACCATTTCAATAACCACATTAATCCTCTCCATTCCTGGATTAAATGCCATAATTTACTGAAGCTCAGAGCAGCTCTGGAAAACTACGTGTCAAAGGAAAACAAATGCAACACCAGCAGAAGAAATGTGGCCACAGCACCCTATGCACCAATATCAAACAAGATCCAAAGTCAAAACTAAATCTAAGGAGACCTGTTCAGCAGAAGTTTCTGAACTGCATGTCGAACCTCATAAGGTTTGGAAAAAAAATGCTCATAAAGGTTTGAACGTGATCTATGAAGCTAGGTCCCAAGTTGTTTGCTAAATGATTTCATATTAAAATGTCTAAAAGTAGCTCTACCTTTTTTATAAATTAAAATTAAAAAAATAACAAAAACTCTCTAAAGCAATTAACAAAGGATGGTAACTAACGTTTGTACGAGGCTCTCTGCAGAAAATATAACTAGGCTGTAAATTCGGACCAATTTGTGCGCAAGAATAATCAAATGTTCAAGCGCTTCTCATTTGAGCTACAGACTGTTCATATTGCATATCCAGCACTAGCAAATTAAGGCATCAATGATTAATTTGATTGTTAAGCTAAAGCATTACTCCTTTTCCATCTGCAACTATAAGAAATGGAGCAGCTATTACTAGTAAGAAATTAGCATCCACTACTGAATGATCAACAAATAGATTTTGGCTCTCCCCTTGCAAGTGGAGTTCCTAAATATGGATGCTAGAAAATGATGGAAAATGACGTGCAAAATGCTGAAGCATTCTACAATAATGCACAAAAATGCTGCATCGTACTACAACATCACACAACTGCCTATCATTAGGCACTGAAAGTGCAACAAATATCTAAGGCCATGCATTAGGACCTTTTATTAACTATCTTTAACACACTAGTCATTTGAATAACCTTTCTACAAGCTTCTCCTCGCAATAAAAAGAACAGTACTATTCGAAATTATGTTTTTCTAGATAGAGAAAAATTATTTTATTAAAGAGTTGACAAACCACGAAAAAACCGATAGTACGCGAAAGTACTTCTCACTACCTTTTGATAAGATTTTGTTTTGGGATAAGTCACTAATTATTGATAATATTTTCAGCCAGAACTCTTTTACTTATGAAGGAAAAGACACTATTTCCTGCAGTAGAACAATGCCATTCACTTAAGTAAAAAGTATGATCCACTTTATGTTCCAACGTCCTATAATAGCACTCAAATATCCACACTTTTTTTTGCACCTGGAACAAGAAAGAAATAGAGAGAAACAGCACAGAGGACAGAAGTTCACAAGATTATAGAGTAAACGCGTAAAATAAGTAAAAACCATACCATGAAACCTGCAACAAGCTCCACAAGTGCGAGGGTATCAGTTAACTGGCATGAATTCTCAGAAATAACAAAGGCCCACTGGACTAAATCTACGTCATCTGAGGATTCATCAGTTTTCCTTCCATCACATTTGACTCTGCGTCTTGATGAGTTCAATGACTCCATCAAATCCGACCCCACAGCAGAGCAAGCATAACTGTTAAGACTATCCAAGAGGGATGATGCAACAATATCCATGGTAGCTGCACCCTCTGAAAACGGGCATTTACTACCGGAACAAATCTTAGACAATGACTCAACCGAAGATCCTATACAGGAAAGAGGATCAGGAGAAAATCTATTCTTGTGAATAAGCATCACCAATGACTTCACCACAGTCATAGCTAAACCATACTCTTTGAGGATAAAGTATTTAGAACCACATAGATAGGCAAATATATGAAGAATGTTTAGAGCATCAGACCTCCGCATCCTTAAGATGTTGCAGGAAGCCTCACAAACAAAACCAACATGGTCAACCGCGGAACATACTGATGCTAGCAAAATGCCTCCAATTAGCAACAACTGAGTAGGAGCTGGTTGCTTGCACAAGCTTACACTATGGCCATCCAAAATAAGATTGATTCCTGAATTGGTTGCAAGCTTTGAATCAGAACTTACAGCAGGCACCAGCAATTTATCATGCAAAAGAAAATCCTCCATAAGAGAAAGTACATCATAAAAGTTGCAATATTCCACAAATATCCTTCTTGTATCTTCATGTGAGAGTTCTGCAAATATGGAAAATTAAAAGTAGGCTTAGTATATACAAAGTAAGCTTTTCAGGAAACATCTTAACGCAAATAAATAATGAGGCCAGAAACCTGTATATATGTGCTGAGCAACAGAATTCACAAAAAGGGTCAGGTCCCTCTCCCAATCATCTCCAAAGGCTCTCGTTGCAGTATCAGAAATGTAGAGCAGTAAGAGTGAAAAGAAGACACAGGTCTTCTCCCTGGAAAAAGTGGCAAGAAAGAAGATAAAATGTTAGCTCTTGTTTCAAAATAAACATGTATTCATTCACATTTGAACCCATTTCTATGCTAATGAAGCATCGGAATAACACTTGAGACGGACAAAGGACAAGAATAATGCACATAAATTAAGGGCATTGTACGTGCCTAAGAATGACAATCAAATGCTGGCTCGAAGCATCTTAAATCCATGCAAACAACTTTAAAAATGTAGACACTCCAGATTGCAAAATGAAATAAGGCAAGCTACAAAAGAAAACAGAATAGATTATATGACTTAGAAATATCGAAGAGGTTGCAGTTCAAGCATACAGAATAAGCTTTGACATATACTCCGATATCGGAAGTTGACTAGAAAAAGTTAGTACTGTCCATCCATTATTCATATGAGAGGTAATAATATGATACAATTGAGGTCAAGTACTCCGAGATGTGAGCTAGCCTTCTAATTTCTTTGTAATAGTTGGAAGTAAAATTTGACAAGAGTAACATCATTGCGTCATATTACAAGAACAAAATATATACAGTTGCAAGGTACTTCTTCCTGGAGAAAAGCACATGATTTTGGGATATCCCACTACCATGAAGTAAACATGACTATCAAATTTGGCACAAGCATAAAACATACGGCTGTAACCATTGACACACATTTGAAATTCAGTCTGTCAAGCGACATATATTTGACAACTTTATTCATGGCCATGTGACCTTAGGCTAGATCATTTTTTATCTTCTCTCTGATAATTGTAGGCTTTGGGCTAAATCCTACCTTTTAAACTCTTAGGGTGTGTGGAAATCATTGTATAACAGCCTAGTAATTACCAAGACCGGTTTGTTTGGTTGCACAAGTGTAATTACATAGTTAAGACATTTTTTATATTAATAAACGTTAACAATAAAAATTAAAAAAAACTTTTTAGTTGAACAAGTAAATAAATTTTAATGTGTGGCATATATATGTATAAAGGAAATATTGAATATTATTTATTACTAGGTATTCAGAATACACATTTTTTAAATGTAACTAATAATTATAAACTGGTAACTAATATCATAAAGAATAATTGATATCCCTACCCATGTGAATATAATATGAAATTCATGACTACTTGTATTTTCTAAATAACAAAGGGCAGACATAAAGTATTTTTCTATAATTAGTATTTATGTCAATGAATAGAAAACTAAGCAAGGAAGGGGAGCCTTGAAGCAATGATAAAGTTGTCTCCTTGTGACTTATTGGTCACGGGTTCGAGCCGTGGAAGCAGCTACTAATAATTGCATTAGGGTAGGTTGTTGTCTACATCACACCCCTTGGGGTGCGGCCCTTCCGCGGTCCCTGCGTGAATGATGGATGCTTTGTGCGTTGGGCTGTCCCTTAATAGAAAAATAAGCAAGTAGAACATGAAATTGTTTTTACAAGTCTTTCTCATATATTTGAAGCAAAGAGAATGACTGCAAAAAGAGTAAAATATTTTGGAAAAGAAGATAATAGACAATTTGAAAAGCTGCCTTGTTATTACACGTAATTACCAACAAATTCCGCCTCTTTCGAAAATTGGGGAGTGTAATTGCTCCCTGTCAATGATACCCAATTAATTACTCGGCCATACTAACGGTCCAAAAGTGTGTAATTACACCCAAATCCAATTACATGGTGGCTTTCCAAACATGCTCTTGTAAACATATGAAAGAAAATGGAAGTATAACTTTAAGCATAGAGACTTTGCTTTTACCATATTGATATCTGAAGAACAAAGTATAGGTGGATATCCCTGATCCAAAAAAAAAAAAAGTATGGGTGGATGATTTTGGTATGTCCAATGCAAAGTAAGCATGAAACCCAACTAGGAGGACGAATATACAACAATAGAATAGCTAGCTTACTTGTTTGAGATATCTTCAAGTTTCAAAAGAGTGACCAAAATACTCCTAAGAGAAGGATCTGATGATGCAGAGCACTGAGCAAGACAACTGCTGGTAGCACGGTAAATACTGGAAATGCTATTTTCGGCGTTGTTATTTGAAAAGATGACACAATACTTGGCAAAACTATCCCATAATGAGACCACTCTCCTTTCCAATGGAATCTGCAACCCCTCACTTGCAGGAGCAGCTAAATCTGATCTGCACAATGCTGATGCATTTGAATAGGAACTGCAGAATAACTTACAAGCTGTGTCAAGGTTTAATCTCTTAGATGAATCAACATGATCTCTTTTCTTGGAAAATGATGAATTATCTGAAGGATCCAAGGTACAATGTTTTAACTGGTTAGAATTGATTTCCACATTGATGACATCTAAACTGTCTGATGAAACCAGAGTCCCCATTGCATTTGAGAATCCCTGATATAAAGGTGAGCTAATCGATTCAAGTGCCTCACTGCTATGGCACTGAATCTCAGGAAGTGTAGGTGATAAAGGCATTTCAATTGCTAGACAATAAGACTCTTCATCAGTATCACTATCCAAATTGAGAAGCTTCATATAATCACCACGGACAAGTTCATCAATATATCCCAGGTCATCATCTTTCCCATCCTTCCAATCCTGGGCAGTTTCTGGAAGGCTATAGACAGCTGGAGATGGATGTGTGCAGACATCAGATTGGACACCACAGCTGTCAAACTTTGTCTTTGCCACACTATTCTTGTTTGAAGGATGCAGGCCTAGTTCACAGGATGTTCTTCTTTTCTTGCGAGATATAAAATGCTCGCTGCACGTATCGTGTTGCATTTCAGCTACCAAATGCTTTTTCTCAACAGCAGGTCCATCTGTTCTACTATTAAACTTACCATCATGTAGAGAGGTTTTCTCTGAAAGCTGCCTTTGCCACTTGTTACCCCTGGAATTTAAGATTCCATTAGATTCAATGGCATCAACGGATCTCCTCATCCTCTTATAATGTGGACCTCTCCTCTCAGTAGAAATACAACTGATAGGACTCTTGACATTACTGTCAGCAATTGCTACAACATTCTCAATGCACTTTTTTCTTGCATCTCCAGGCAAACTGGATATGGTCAGTTCTACGTCCAATTTTTCTTCAGCTGATTTAGCTGATGTTGTGANGAAAACTTAATCAAAAACACCTTCCTTACTATATAAGAGCTTCAACAATGCCAAGAACAAGAGAAACAAACCTTTTCTAGGGCATGCTCATCACCTTGAAAGAAGCAACCGTCCAGTATGTTTAGACGTCTCGAGAAGTGAACAAGCTCCTGCTTTAAGCTAACTAGATTCTGCTGCAGTATATAGTTACGGGTTTTTTCGAACTTAGCTACTTTTTTAGCATGCTTTACCAGCATCTTTTCAAGCTTCAACTGCTTTTGCAACAGCTTAACTTTAGCAGTTTCAACATGCACACTACTATCATGTGCACGAAGAGGACAATCAACAGAATACCTTGCAAAACTTAGCTTTTCAATTTCTTTCTGCAGTTCTTCGACCCTCTTTCTGTAATTTTTGACCTCTTCAGAAAGCTGATCAGCACGATTTTTTTCTTCTGATGCCTTCTTTTTATATGCTTCTGCAGCCTTTCTTTGCTTTTCCACTTTTTTCATTTCTGATTTAACACGGTTTTTCTCAATCGCCACCTTTTGTTCCATTTCCTGGAGCCTTTTTTGGGCTGCATCGGAATTCACAATTACATCTACCATGGTAGCATCTCTCTCCACTGCCTTTGGACCAAGCTCAGGTGAGAATTGACCAGTTCCTAGAGTCGTCCCTTTACGAGGTATGATGTTAACCGTTTTACCATATGCCATGAGTTCACCAATCTCCTTCTTCAAATTATCAATCTTTTGTCTATCCTGTTCCAGCTGACGATATAGATCAGTAGCACGGCTCTTTTCATCCATGGCCATCTTGCGGTTCGTTTCTGCAATCTTCTTTTGATCAGCAGCCTTCGCCACTGCTGTATCTACACGTTTTCTCTCTTTAGATGTGTTTTCTCTCTCTGCCTCCAGCTGCTTCTTAGCATCTTCAAACTCCAAAGTCACTGAAGCTAACTTTGATTTCACTTGTTCAGCTTCCTTCTTCAGATTTTCCAAATTAAGTCTATTTCCTTCGGTTCTTTTTCTTTCAACATCAGCAAGTCTCCTTTCTTCATCAGCCTTGGTTTTCTCAACCTTCAATTTTGTCCTCAACTCGTCCACCTTTTTCCTCTCCAACTCAGTCTTCTTCTTCTCTGACTCTGCTCTCACTCTTTCTTTATCGACAAGTACCTTCAGCTCGTTTACCTTGCTTTCCCTCTCAGAGAGATGCTCCTTAAGCTCTCCAATTTCTCTACCTCCACCATTAGCCACCGATTGATGCTTCAAGGAAAGAATCTCATTCTTCAACCCAGCAATTTCACTCTCTAAAGAAACCCTTAAAGCAGATTCCTTTACTTTTTCCTCCTTTTCATTGCTTGCCCTAAGTTTCTCATCCTCAACAGCTGGAAAAAAAGAACAAAATACAGCAGCAAGTCAATGTCTGTCAATGACAAGAAACAGAGCACGTAATCAACAAGGGGAACAACCTCACTAGCAAAGCTAAACAAGACCAGAGAGAGTATGCTTAAAATTAGATAAGCTTAAAGAGAACTCCTAACATACTAACCTTCAGACAGAAGATAAACTCAAAACTTGCTACTACGATTTCAAAAATCAAAAACCACTTAAGCTATTGGGAGGTCACATATTCTCACTGTGTATAGTAAATACTACACACCAAGATGCTATGACGCCAATAAAGATGAAGGTTTAAAACTCCTAGGGATTTTCTTAATGAGGTATCAGGACCACCTTATGCGCAGCTCGACAAATTCACCAAGCAGCTCGGTATAGTCAAACTAGGTAAATATTAAGCAGTTAAAAATTAAAGTGAGCATGCATATCATTTTACCACGTTTAAGTGGTAAATCAGTGTATGAAGTACACATGTCTAGCCTTCACTAGTTTGGTGTAAAGACCATGTGCGAGTAAGTTTTACCGTCAAACTATTCCTTTACTTCCTTTTGTTTTGTAACCTATAAATTTCTCTGTGCTTCTAATTTAAAATTAATACTCATTTCAGAAAGTAAAGGGTGAATCCAAAGTAAAAAAAGTAAAAATACCTTTCCTGAGAGAGAGATTTTCAGATTGCATCTTCAAAACTTGTTCCTCGTATATGGAGAGACCTTTACGAAGCGCATTTCTCCTATCTTCAAGCTTTGCGTAGCCGTCTTTCAGTTTACTGTACTTCTCTTTCCACTGCAAACACAGTGCAAAAATCAACCAAAAACTAAAGAAACAAAAGAAAAATTGAATGTTAAGCCAATAGAAACCCTAAATCGAAATGCTTACAGATATACAGCAGGGATTTGTAAGCTCTTCTTTTATCATTACATCATCCGCCATTGATGTTGATTCGTACATATAAAAACCTTAAAATCTTTACTTTCGGGAAATTTACGCATTCGCACGGAGACTAGGCATTACTGCTCGCATAAATCCCTCAGTTGAACCCTAGCATTGAAAAGGTTCACTCAACCGCCAATACAGCTCACTAAGAAGTTAGAACCCCTAGGCTAAACCCTATTTTCGAATTCTTAAACAGTTAGAAAACTTGAGAACCGGACCCTCAGGCATATCTTCGCCCCTTCGGGTTTTATCAGTCACGCAGTCAGCGTATATCGAACCGGGTCCGCCGCCTAACGCCGTTACCAGTGCTGTTCAACTCGGACGACAAGTATGAATTATGGTTTTTGATTAAACATGAGTTTAAAAAAGAAAAAAATCTAAACCAAAGTCATGAATATTTGTACAACTATTAGTTTTAGGTGTGTGTTATAGTTTTAAAATTAGTTTTGAATAATGTGTTTGAATTATAAAATAAAAATAAGATATACTATGAATATTGATCTCATTTAGAATATCACCAAGATGAGGTGATCTAATAATGTAAAAATTCATTACATATTCATTATAAGTGTATGTATACAAGTTAAAACAATTTTTAGAATGGTCTCTATCGTGTCAATAAATATAGTAGGACGTAACATAAGCTCACGCCTTCCGTATGGGTCCGGACCGTTAATTTTTTTTCCGGATCATCAAAAATGACCTACGAAACATTAGTCATCGCCCCGCCTAGCTAAATAAATAGTGAAATCCTACTCTATGGAAATCCTCAAAGAATATCTTATAGAAAAATTTTGTTAACTATCAAAACAAACAAGTAAAAAAATATTTTTATCACGATAATTTGTCAAATAATACAAATTGAAAATTTGAGTCTTTTGGTCTTAGCATTAGGAATGAAGAGTGTATAGGGTAAAATATGTTCATATTAAATTCTCACATAATAAAGCGACACGTGGGGCCAAAACCAGATAAAAAGCAAGGCAAATGGCAATCAGGTCTGAAGCGAAAGCTATGCTCCCGGAACCAGGATTTTTGTTGTCTTATTTCGATTTCAATAAGTCTTACATTCTTGTTTAATTTATTTATCATGTTGGGATCAAATCGATTCATTTGTCTATAAACTATATATAAATTCAATTGTACCGTTTTACGGGTAAACAAAGAGATTGGCCTATAGCTCCTACGAAAAAAAATGATAAATGATAATTAATATAAACTTTAAAAATGACTACTATCGAGTTAATAAATTACAATAAATAACTTAATATATAGAAAAAATATAGAAAGTTGTCATTTGCTGGAATGTTTTTAGAAAGAAAGAAAAATAATTAATGCTAATGTTAATAAAAATACATTTTAACTTCTATTGTTTGCAGGTTGAAATAATTATTGAGTGTAGTTGTGAAATATTATACAAAACAATTGATAAATAAAACTTTAGTTGATTTTAAAGCTCGGAATATTAGGAAAATTAACATGAAAAAAACTTTAGTCAAAAAATAAACTAGACTTTGATGATATTATAGACAATAAATTTGCGTCAAGAAAATAATCGAGACCGAAAAATATTGCAACAACCGTAGTATTTTATTTTAAACAATATAAATGTTACAATCTCTATGAATCCTCTGATTCTTCCTTTCAACAGTAAATACAAGAGTCTTCGAGATTGATCTTGAATTTTATTTTATTTTAATTCAAGTGCTTGAAGCTTGATCTTGATCTTGATGTTTTTTATTTCAAGGGCTTGCAAATTGTTCTTGAATCTTCGTCTTGATCTTTTAATCTTTAGAACACTTGAATGTTTGTATCTTTTAGGGGAATCTGCAGCGTTTGATCCACGAGCTCTCTCTTGATTCTTGTTATGAATTCCGGTCCGTTTTTTGAGTTATGAAGACCCATATCTATAGTTGTGGAACAGAAGAGTTGTGATGAGAACAAACTTTTCCCGACCAATCAGATCGAAGCACGACAATGCCATATTTGATTGGCTAGAAGCATATATGGCGCAATTTTATTGGCCTTTTTATTGGCTTGGCATGCCTTGTCATTTGACATATGGCATGATCCTATTGGCTCTTCCGTTTGACTTGGCGTGCCACATCATTTGACACGTAGCACCAAATTGGAGCTCTAGGGAGATGACATCTTGGGTTTAATAATGTGGCCCCATCACTTGTAGCCCAATAAACTTGAACTTATTTATTAAGTTCATGTATATTTTGGACTTATATAATTAATCAAATTATATTAGCCCAATAAATTTATTTGGATTAATATACATCTTGAGTTTAAAATATAATCTTAATTAATTTATGAATTTAAATTCAACAATTTTATATGCCTACAGATAACAACAATAACATACCCAGTATTATTCCACATCGTGAGGTCTGGGGAGGGTGGTGTATAACCTTACCCCTAACTTGTGAGGATAGAGAGGTTATTTCCAATAGACCCTCGGCTCAGAAAAGTATAAGCACCACATTAATAAAATTATAGACAAGAAGGGACATCACCAAACAGCTATATAAAAGCAAAAAGGTGATCAACAATGAAAGAAAATAACGGTTGGTCATAAAAACTTATTACCAACAGAAAGCGAGATTGTGTGCCAATGCTACTGTTATGAACACTCTAGACTACCTACTCTACTACCCTAATCCTCGACCTTCATACCTTCCTATCAAGGGTCATGTCTTCGGTCAACTGAAGCTGCATCATATCTTGCCTAATTACCTTTCCCCACCTCTTCTTTGGCCTACCTCAACCTCTATGTAGGCCCTCAAATGTCAACCTCTCATACCTCCTAACTGGGGCGTCTGTGCTCCTCATTCTCATGTGACCAAACCACCTAAGCCGCATTCCCCGCATCTTGTCATAAATAGGGGTCACACCCACCTTGTCGCGAATAACCTCATTTCTAATCCTATCTAACCTGGTGTGCCCGCACATCCATCTCAACATCCTTATCTCTACTTCCTTCATCTTCTGGACATGAGCGATCTTGACTAGCCAACACTCAGCCCCATACAACATCGTCGGTCTGACCACCATTCTGTAGAACTTACCTTTAAGTTTCGGTGGCACCTTCTTGTCACACAAAATACTGGAAACGAGTCTCTATTTTATCCATCCCACCCCAATATGATGTGTGACATCTTCATCAATCTCCCCATCCCCCTAAATAATAGACCCAAGGTACTTAAAACTTCCTCTCTTAGGGATGACCTGCGAGTCCATCCTTACCTCCCCCCTGAGTCTCGCCACTGAACCTACACTCTAAGTATTATGTCTTGGTCCTGCTCAACTTGAAACCTTTATACTCCAGGGTCTGCTTCCATACCTCTAACTGTGCGTTTACTCCGCCTCGCGTCTCGTCAATCAAGACAATGTCATCTGCAAATAGCATGCACCACGGTACCACCCCTGGATATGGTGCGTCAGTACGTCCATCGCCAGGGCAAACAAAAAAGGGTTGAGTGTCGACCCTTGATACAAGCCCATCATAACCGGAAAATGGTCTCAGTCCATACCCACCGTACTCGCTCGCGTCTTTGCTTCATCATACATGTCCTTAATCACCCTAACGTAGGCAACATGTACACCTCTAGCCTCCAAACATCTCCACGAAACCTCTCTCGGGACTTTATCGTACGCCTTTTCTAAGTCGATGAACACCATATGCAATTCATTCTTCCTCTCCCTATACTGCTCCATCAATCTCCTTACAAGGTAGATGACTTCTGTAGTCGAACGCCCCGCATGAACCCGAACTGGTTTTCGAAAATAGACACACTCCTCCTCACCCTTAGCTCTACCATTCTCTCCTAGACTTTCATAGTATGTCTAAGTAGCTTGATTGTAACACACCGGAAAATTTTGAAGAACTTAAGTGTAAAGCCCAGTAAAATTTACAAAGAAAATAATGTTTCATGGTGCCGCACTAGGATTATGTGTTTGGAGGATTGTGACTCAAACTTTTTGGGTTGAATAATGTACGGGAAAGTAAAGGAAACTTTTTGGCCTAAAAGTACATTTCTGCGATCCATTATGCGACCGCAGAATCACTCTGCGAACCGCATAATGGCCGCAGAGTGAGGCAGTTAATTGGGTCAGTTGGAAGCAATTATGTGGTCGACTATGCGACCGCATAACTGTTATGCAGTGTACTATGCGACCGCATAACAGTTATGCGGACCGCATAGTGACCGTAGACTCATGCAAATTTTTGGCCATTTTGGACACCAATTATGCGACCGATATGCGGTCCGCATATGCGACCGCAGAACCTATTCCGGAGCTTCATTTTTGGGTTTTTAATACTCGACCCTATTTCGTTAAATACACTCTTTGGGTCATTTTTGAGATATAATCTGATATTTTAGAGTGAGAGAGTGTGCCCTAGAGTGAGAAGGTGTTCCTCAATAATTGATTCTTCAATTCTTGCTCAAGTTTTGGAAGATTAAGGAGGGAAACTCACTAGGTCTTCATCCTAGAGGTAAGATTCTACACCCTAACCCTCAATTTCGAATTTTTGTCTAGAAATGGGTAATAATCAAGATAATTTCTGGGCAAGAGGGTTGTTTATTTTACATGCATGTATTATCAAAGGGTGTAGAAAGATTGTTGAGCTAAAAATGGTAAAGATTGGGTTATGGGATGATGTAATCCTCCATAAAAGGACCTTGAACTTTAATCCACGCTTAGTGTTTGATAAAATGCTCAAATGAGTTGAGACCATGAATATCTTCCTAATTATGGTTCAATTTTTGTTATGTCTCAAATAGATTGGGATTGTTAGAATTTCTGGAACATTGTAGTAATTAAAGAAAGCTCAATTGAGATATGTTGGCTAAATTTTCTCTCTTGGAATTGAATTCCATAATGTTTCCGTGAGTTTTAAAGTATGGGTTGCGTATTAAAATGTGGTGGCTTGAATCGTATTTCAAATGAAAGTTAGTATGCCAAATTATGTGAGAAAATCTCAATATTCTTAAGACTCTTAATTGATCATATGTGTACTTAAAGTCTTAATTGGGAATGTCTTATTGTTGAGAACCTATAAGGATGGTTGGAAGTGAAATCAGTAAATTGGGAATAAAAAGTGTGGCCAACGTGCCAATAGTGAAAGTTATACTTGTGACCAATGGTGCCAATGAAATGAAATAATATGAGAAAGATTATGAAATAAGCTTTAACTCAACTATTCCAAAATTGACTTCGATAATATAATCGGCTAAAAGTTTATGAACTCAAGTGATTCCCATATGTGGCTGTTTTAGCTAATGATATGCTTTGTAAGTAATTTTCAATGTGTTTT